ATATTTAAGAGGAAAATACTGCCTAAAGAACCTAAAAATTAGATCAGGAGTAACTGTTCGTGTTCATCCTAAAGGTTGGATGGATGAGGAGGGTACGAAGTAATGGCTGCGCAATGTGTGGGGCAGGCGACCAAGCGCAGCACTAAGAAAATGTCCGTCGTTAATAGTGTGGGATAAATTTTGCGTGCATATAACAGAGGAGGTGAAGAACGAAGCAAAGAAAATTGTGACCACGTTAGCCGTGATTCCAGGTGCCCTAACATCAATGTTCCAGCCATTGGATGTCTGTCTCAACAAGCCTCTCAAGGACCGATTGCACAATATGTGGCAACAATGGATGTGTTCTGGTCAGGCAAAGTTAACGAAAATGAGGGAACTTGATGAAATCAGACATTGATTTGGTAACAAAATGGGTAAAGGATGCTTGGGATTCAGTATTACCAGAAATGATGAAGAAGTCGTTCCTGAAATGCGGAATTAGTAATGCTATGGATGGATCAGAGGACGACGCCATTTATGAAGAGAAAGACGAATCAGCTTCATATACTGATGCAACAGATGGCGACAGCGAAGACGACATTTACTCTGATGGCATCACCGAAGAATAGTGTCATGATTTATTTGGACATTCAGACAATGACAAGTCGGAGTTTGATGGATTTGTATAGGCCAAACAATGTTTGTGCTATTTTGGAGGACATGAATAAGAATTCCCTGTAATAAATTTAAAGTATTCATTGCAGTTAATAAATTAAATGTTCCTGTTCATGATTACTTATTTTTTAATCCAGTTTTTAGCTGACATGTTTGATTGTCCCAGGATTTTTACCTAGGTAAAATCTGACAAAATTATAAAAATAACAGAATTTCATAGCCCCAAGATTTACCCTTGACTTATCTACGAATCATAGCATATTTCACAATTGTTGGTCAAAAAACTGCACTCAACTTATACACGAGTATATACAATAGGTCAAGGATTGCAGGATAAAACTTACCAGGAAAGGTTAAAGGATCTTAAAATTTATAAGCGTGAGGGAAAGACGAGACAGGGGAATATGATAGAAACATTTAAATATATAAAGGGAATCAACACAGTAAAGGAGGAGACTATATATAAAAGAAGAAAAACTACCACAAGAGGACAGTCTTAAATTGGAGGGGCAAAGGTTTAAAATTAATATCAGGAAGTGTTACTTTACAGAGACGGTAGTTGACGCTGCCCTAACTCATGTTAAAAACGGCCACTATCTCAGTGGCAGATTTGGGGGAGAGGGGAATGAGAGGGGGGAGGGCAACGGGGCAACTGGCAGAGAGAGTGTGTGTGTTTGTCAGAGTGTGTCTGTCTGTCTGTCAGAGTGTATGTATCTGTGTCAGAGAGTGTGTTTGTCTGTGCGTGTGCCTGTCAGTGAGTGTGTTTGTTAGTGTGTGTCAAATCAGCAAGTGTGTGTGTGAGCCTGTCAGTGAGTGTGTGTGTTTAGGTGACTGCCCCCCCTTTTAATCACATGGAAAAGGTGTTTTTACTCTCCTCTTTTTTTCCCACGCCATTCAGGACTCACTGTGGCTGTTCCCGCCTCCATGGCTGAGATCATTACTCTTGATCTCAGCCAATCCATTGCTTGCTCTTAGGAAAGCAATGAAAGGTTATTACGTATGTGCTCCAATACACAATGCTGCACCAATCAGCATCTCCTCCGGAAGATGCATTGAATAAATACATCTCTACGGGTAGAATTAAGAGTCACGCTGAATGTAGGTGGTGCTCACTGTGCAGCACTGGTCCAGGAAGCACCTCTAGAGGCTTTCCGAGGGACTGTCACTTGAGGTGTTACTAGGCAGCAATGTAAATACTGCCTTTTCTCTGAAAAGCGTGCAGGGACAGGATATAGACTCCAAAACAACTACATTAAGTTGTAGTAGTTCTGGTGACTATAGTGTCCCTTTAGAATAGCATTTTTGACATTGAAAAACTTTACTCCTAACTATGTTAGCTGGCTTCTAGATTCCAATTAAATTTGGCAAGCTCTGGTGACGGTGTATGGGATGGTAATCCCATCGATGTATACAAAACATGCTCGATACATGGACTACACCTAACCCCAGAGTCACAGCCTGCCTGTATGGAGCCCATCACTGGCCATCTCCCTCCTATAGCCTGGTTGCTGCAAGTTGGGTGTTGGGCTTTGCATTGTTGCACCTTGCTCACAAGGGAGACTGCAGTTTAGTACATTGCCTGTTCATTTTTCCATGGCAGACACTGTAAACCGTGCTAGCGTGATTATTTGTATGAGGCGTTGGTTTTGAAGCACCTTAGTCTCTGTTTTCCCAGCCGGGTACACTATTTGATAGTGTTTGTTTGGAGGTAATTATTATTATCATTATTTTTTCATTTATTGTGTGTTTATATTTATATTGTATAATTCAAATACCAACATTAGATATTTTGTAAGCATTTCCTATGTGAATTTTTTATATATATATCTTTACAGGCTGCGTTTATGGCACTGAATTTGTATAGCAATATTTGATATGCAGTAGTATATTTCTGAAGTCCCTTTTCGACCTACTAATAACTGTTATATATTTTTATATATTTTGGTATAGATTGTGTTTTCTCATTTATTTATATATTATGCTTTATAGCGCAGTCCATTTTTTGCTTATATTCTATATTCTGTGTTATCTCTCCATAGTGTCCAGACTGCCAAGTAACAGCAATTATGCAATGTTTACTTGGGCATTAGTCTGGAACATTTTATTTAAGGTTATGACCCTGCTTTTATTATTTGACATTAATCTATACATTGTGTCACCTAAAGGGTTTTTATAATTTATTTTTATATACAAATTTTTCACACAGTATTGCTGTACCCTCTTTTTTTTCATTAGCACACCAGTAAGGCATCCTATAATAAATTTCATCCATGTCCAATAGATAAAGGATAGCTTATTTTGTTATCCTACACTTCACTGATCATGGCTAGCTTTTTAAAATATATACTATAATTTATGATGCTGTGTACTATGAATCCGTCACAGGAAACATTAGGCTGCCTGAGCATCATAGGAATTGTAGCTCACAGCAAATGTCATTTCCACTACTGTTGACTGCTTTTCCTGTGATTCTTAGCCAGCATGATGTATAAGATTTGACTACTGAGCTTCATGGTAACTGTAGTTCACTGCAGGTAATTTGACAGACATTAACCGTGAACTACAGTTCTTATCATGCACAGCCAGCCAAAAGTATCCTATGATGATGCTGATTGTTCATCATCAGGAAAGATAGTTGAATTGCTATGTACTGCAATCTATGTCTGCCTATGCTGTACAACATATACTTCTATCATGTTAAAAAAAAAATGGTTCCTTCAGTACAAATTTGTTTTTTTGTTTTTTAAAAAGTGTGTGTGTTTTGAGAGCTGTGCGTAATGTGTGTGTTTTGAGAGCTGTGCATGCTCTTGTATGTTTCGAAGCTGGACTTGTATACCAGTGATGTGTCTTTGAGGTAGGCATGTTGTTATATAATATTTTATGCCTATACTGTACAGCATAATTGCTCAGTGTTTGTGTTGATGGAATTGCTGTCATTTACATGCTGATCATATATATATATATATATATATATATATATATATATATATATATATATATATACACATATGATCAGCATTTGCATAATAATTTGCAATATATATATATATATATATATATATATATACACACACTGTTCCAAATTATTATGCAAATGATATTCCTGGATACTAATCCATGGCAGCATCACGATAGGGTTAGCTCCTCCCCCTTGGCTGTTTAGGACAGGAAATACTTACAAATAGGCCCGCTTTGCCTGGTATCATCATATTCCTGTCCTCTTGGCTGTGGACATGATTCAGGTAATTTACATTACCTTTATTTTATTTTAAGTTTACCTCTTTAATTCCCAGGAGAGTTCAGCCTCTCTCTCCTGGAAGAAATGGAAATTTCAAATGTTATTAAACAAGAAAATATACAAGGCAGATATGCTTAATAATGGAAAAATTCCGCAATAATTATCTAATAGCGGTAATATAAGGGGTATTATGTGATGGAAATTGTACCGCAGTGATCCTACGGGTAGCGGTTTTCGTAAGTGATCTCACGCATAGAAGATTTAACCGCAGTGATCCTTATGGTACTGCTGCGAGGAGTATACACTTTTTACCTATAATAAGTCTGCAGTGATCCTAATGGTAGCGGTCATTATGTGTGACTCATGCTTTTCCTTTCATGGATTTATAGCCGAGGTGATCCTTATTGTAGCGGTGCATGTAGAAAACACACATTGAATATATATATATATATATATATATATATATATATATATATATGTAATCCGCTGTGATCCTAATGGTAGCGGTATAATGGATAAACATTCCTGAAAAATATTTATATAATTTTCGGCTATAAGTTACGTGCATCCTTTATCAGTTTTTTGCTCGTAAAGGATTAATATTGGGAGACCTTCTTATGGGCTTTTTGCCTGTGTTCTTAGTTTTCATTCGTTTGGAAGCTGCGTTTGGCCGTTTCCCGACATTTTGTCATCTTGGTCGGCATTCTGCTTATATGCTCTGTTAGTGTTCGTTCGTTTCTGCGTTCGTATGAAATTTTCATTCAAATGAATTTTCCTGTCTTCATATGCTTAGTAACCATTCAGCAAACGAACGGTATGTTTGTTTTTTTGTGTATTGAAGGTTTTGCATTCCCTTAAAATTTTGGCTGATTGAGCATGCGCATTTAAGGTAGTTCAGGGTATTGCTCATTCGGTTGTTGCTATTTAAAGAGACAGGGTGTTCTTTTTCTCTCTCCTTGGATGTAAGCTGGAATTCCTTAGGAATACTTTCTTTGGTGTTTATTCTGGTTAGTGCAGATAAGAAGGATTCTTTTATCTTTAGCATTTAGGTTTACTCTTTTTAGAAGGTATTCTTCATTCCTTAATTCTTGTGTATTCCTTCATATAGCTGACCTAATCTCAGCATCTAGGTCTTCAAGAGGATCTCCTTATAGGCACTCAAGGTAAACGTCTTCCCTTTTAATTATTGGATTAAAAGAGCGATATTAAATGGTATTTTCAATCCTCCTCTTTCCATTTGGTTTTAGTGTCCATGATTTTGACATATCGGAAAGATCTGTTGGAGGAAAGAAGTCTCACAAGTCTGCCCGTTGTATTGCATGTGATGCTAAGGCTTTGGAAGGAAAGAAGCTATGTGGTACTTGCTTGTCCGAAGCAGCTTGTTCTCCTAAGGATCCATCTCCAGAGATTATGAAGTGGATTCAGATGGCAGTAGATAAGTCCATAGAACAGCAGAGAGCTAATAAGAGGCCAAGAACAACTTCTCATAGAGATAGAGAAGATTCAGATTTCGATGCCTCATTTGTGGAAGCTCAGTCGGGGGAAGGTGAAGAGATGTATTCCTCAGAAATTTGGACTTAGTGGAAGAACACATGGATGTTAAAACCATCAAAAAATTAATTAAGGCTGTCAGATATATACTAAAGCTTGAAGAACCTAGCACCTCTAATCCTTCCTCATCTATATTTCCAGAATTGATGAAGAAGAAACCTTCTTTTCCGAGTCATGAAGCCATTAAGGAGCTAATGCTCAAGGAATGGAGAAAAGGGTCTCAGCTCAAGGGAAGATATCCTCTATATACCCCTTTTCTGAAGAAGATTCTGCTGATTGGGATAATGCACCCAAAGTAGATGCAGCCATTATTAGACTGGGGAGAAACACAGCTCTACCACTGGATGAGGTAGCCTCCTTCAAGGATGCTATGGATAGAAAGATTGACATCAATTTTTTTAAGAATTATGTTTCTGCTGGAGTGGCCTGTAGACCTGCAGTAGCTATGACTTCCATCTCTAAGGCACTAATGAAATGGCTTTGTCTTCTAGAAGGGGATATTGAGATGGTTGTAAATAGGCCATCTCTATTACAATCTCTATCAGAAATTAAATGGGCAATGGAGTTTATCTCATACGCATCTCTGGATATAATTAAGAACCTAGCCAGAAATATGGCATTATCGGTTTCTGCACGTAGAGCCCTTTGGTTAAAATCATGTAATGCGGACATATTTGCGAAAAATAATTTATGTGCCATCCCATATCTTGGCCAATTATTGTTTGGCAAGCAATTGGAGGAGGCCATCAAAAGAGCTGCCGAAGGCAAGAAGGTCTTTCTTCCCCAATTTCGCAGAGGTAGAAGGTTTTTCCAGAACTGGCAGGACAGAAGATCCTTTCGAGACAGACAGGCCTTTCGAGAATCAAGGTCCTATAGGCCAGGGAGAGAATTCACAAGAGGTTCAACCTGGAGAAGTGTCAAGTCTGGAAGAATTGCCAGAGGTAGATCCTCAACTGGTACTAGAGCCTCAGACAGACCTTTCTGAAGGTTGGAGACCCCAGGTCTCGGGAGTAGGAGCTCGTCTCCACGCCTTTTGGGAAACCTGGGCTCAAGCAGATTTGGATCCCTGGGTGGTTTCTGTCCTCAAAGAAGGATACAGACTAGAGTTCAAGGTATTTCCCTGTCTCAACAGATTTATGATCTCAAAAACTCCAGGGTTGCCAGAGAAAAAGCAAGCCTTGATAAGAGATATTTCCAATCTTCTGCAAGAAGGAGTAATTACAAGAGTTCCTCAAGGAGAAATTGGTCTAGGGGTTTACACGAATCTGTTCCTGGTTCCAAAATCATCTGGAGATTAGAGTCCGATTTTAGACCTACACGAGTTGAATCTGTCCCTCAACATCCAAATGTTCAGAATGGAGTCCTTGTCTTCCATAATAGCAGTAATTCAGCCAGGAGATTGGATGATCTCAATAGACCTGAAGGACGCCTATTTCCACATTCCAATAGCAGATCATCATCAAAGGTATTTGAGGTTTGCAATTTTGGGAGAACATTTACAGTTCAGGGCAGCTCCTTTTGGCCTAAGTACCGCTCCAAGGACATTTTCAAAGGTCCTTGTGGCTCTGATAGCTATGATGAGACTTCAGATCTATCATTACCTGGACTATATTTTATTGGTAGAAAGATCAAGGGCAAGACTTCTGATTTAAAGAGACCAGGCTTTAAGAACTTTGGAAAGGTTTAGTTGGGTCATCAATTACCAGAAGAGTCATCTGGACCCCTCCCAGAGTTTATGCTTCCTGGGAGCATGGTTCGACACAAAGTTAGCCATGGTTTTCCTTTCAAAGGAAAGAAGAGTTCGGGTCATGTCAAAGACACAAAGGGCGATGGACTCAGAATGGGTCACGGCCGAAGAGTATATGAGCATGTTGGGAAACTTTTCGTCAACAATTGGTCTAGTAAAATGGGCTCAGTGGCACCTGCATTATCCTTAGAGGTATTTCTTGGAAGGTTTAATCAAGACAAGGACAGGTGGTCCAAGAGGATAGTCATTTCGGCATTCCTCTGAAAGGCTTTGGACTGATGGAGAGATTCTGTTCACCTCCGCAGGGGGATTCCTCTAGGAGAAATAGATTGGCTGAACATAACTACATATGCCAGTGGTTCAGGTTGGGGCGCTCATCTTCTTCAATGGAATGCCCAGGGCAGATGGGTGAAAAGAGCCTCCCACGTTCCAGCCAACCTTCTGGAACTAAGAGCAGTCTTCTTAGCCCTGACACATTTTTAGGATGTACTAATGGGAAGATGGGTGAGAATTCACTTGGACAATCGTACCGCAGTGTCCTACATAAACAAGCAAGTCGGTACCAGGAGCAAGAAAGGGCCTGTCGGCTGTATATATTCCAGGACCAGAAAATTCGAGATCAGACTTCCTCAGCAGGAATTATCTGGAGCCCAAGGAATGGCAATTAAATCCAAAGATATTCCGGCAACTGGTCTTGAAGTGGGGACGACCAGAAGTAGATCTAATGGCTTCGGCGAAGAGTACTCAACTTCCCCCCAAAATTTCAAGAACCTTTCAGCCCAGAGCTCTGAATACGGATGCCCCTGGGAGTTCAAGATGGCATATGTGTTTCCCCCATTTCCTCTCATATGGAAAACATTGAAAAGAATCAAGAAGGAACATCTCCGAGTAATAGCGATTATTCCATTTTGGCCTCGCAGACCATGGTTCCCCCTCCTCAAGTCTCTTGTGATCACCAAACCATGGAAATTGGATCTCATGATTCAGGGACCAGCAGTGCATCCGTCGCCAAGGACTCTACATTTGATGGCATAGAAACTAAAAGGAGGTGTTTAGCAGACAAAGGCTTTTCGTCAGCAGTAATTGACACTCTCTTGAAGTGTAGAAGACATTCTACTTCTTCTATGTATTACAGCATTTGGACAGTATTTGCGGATTGGGCTAAAATCAATAAAGTCTCTTGCTTGTTTCCCTCAGTCTCTAATGTTTTGGAATTTCTGCAAACAGGTCTGGATAGGGGTCTAAGCCTCAGTTCTCTCCGTGTTCAGATTTCTGCTTTATCGGCCCTAACTGGCTACAGGTGGGCTCTGGAAAACATGGTGATCCGGTTTGTAACTGCAGTGAAAAAGTCAAGGCCTTCTATCAGATCTTTAACGCCCCCCTGGGACTTTCCGTTAGTTCTAAGGGCTTTGTCTCTTCCTCCATTTGAACCTCTTTCAGATGCCTCGGATAGATTACTTACTCTTAAGGTTCTTCTTCTTGTGAATATTACATCCGGGAGAATGGTATCTGAAATTCAGGCCTTATCTACAGAAGAATCCTACATGAAGTTCTATCCGGATAGAGTGGTACTAAGAACAAATCCGGAATTCCGGCCCAAGGTAATGTCGGAATTTCATTTCAATTAAGCGATTCTCCTTCCATCATTTTTTCAGTCTCCTTCTACACCAGAGGAAGGTGGCACACTCTAGATGTCTCCAGATGTATTTCTATTTATCTGGATAAAACGGCAAGTTGGAGGAAATCTCCTACCCTTTTTCTAAACTTTGCGGGATTCAGAAGGGGTTTGGCTGCATCAAAAGCCACTTTGAGTCGATGGATTGTTTCAGCTATTTCTTCTGCATATCAGTATCAGGAATCTCAAGTCCCTGAGTGATTAAAGGCGCATTCTACTAGATCTCTCTCTACTTCTTGGGCAGCTGCTACTAACACTCCTATAGAAAGTATTTGTAGAGCGGCTAATTGGGCTTCAGCTAATACCTTTATTAAGCATTACGCCCTGGATGTGAGATCCAAAGCAACCACTGAGTTTGGAAGAAATTTTCTTTCCTCGGTCTCTTGACTGAATAAACAAACACTTCTTTGATCATGAATACCTTGTCTTTGTTTTAATTTGTCCTCCCTTAAAATTAGCTTGGGTATTACCCTATCGTGATGCTGCCATGGATTAGTATCCAGGAATTCAAAAAATTTCCTCATACTTACCGTAATTTTCTTTTCCTGGATACGTCCATGGCAGCATCTATTATTTCCCTTCCCATTTATTTTTTCTTTGAGCGTGTTACTTGAGTGATGTTACCAGGCAAGGAGGGCCTATTTGTAAGTATTTCCTGTCCTAAACAGCCAAGGGGGAGGGGCTAACCTTATCGTGATGCTGCCATGGACGTATCCAGGAAAAGAAAATTACGGTAAGTATGAGGAAATTTTCAGAATTTTTCTCATTTACCTAAATAATTGATGTAAATAACAGTCAGCATAATTCTTATGTTAGCAACTATTCAGTACAATTCAAATTTTATTGAACAAACCTCCCAATGAGAACAGTATTTTTTTTTAAACATAAAAAACTTACAATGCACTGTTCCAAATTATTACGCACAGTAAGTTTCAAAACACTTTATAGGTTGTAAAGAACTGAAATTTGTCATTTGTTGTATTTGCAGCATATTTACTGAACTCAAAAGCTATTTCAATCAAACTTATAACAACATTTTAACTTTTTAAACATTTTAACCTAGGACCCCTTATTTGATACCAGTTTCACAAGTCTTGCATCCATTGAACTTTTGAGTTTTTGAACAGTTTCTGCTTGAATTTGTTTGCAAGCTGTCAGAATAGCCTCCCAGAGCTGCTGTTTGGATGTAAACTGCTTTCCACCCTCATAGATCTTTTGCTTGAGGATGCTCCAAAGGTTCTCAATAGGTTCTCGCTATTGTTAGTAGCCACTTAGTCAGAAACACTTGCCAAATTTAGCGTTAATATTTGTTTATGTGTGAAAAATGCAAAAAACTCATTTGAATGCCAATTTAGGCCAGTGTTTGTGACTAAGTGGCTACTAAAAAAGACTGGACATACCCCATTTGCAATACCTTGGGTTGTCTACTATCGCAAATGGTATGCCATCATGTAGGTAATTTTCATTCCTGGGCTACCATACGGTGTCAAAGGCAACGTAACCAATCTGGCGAATTTCAATGTGAAAAAACTGAAACGCAAGCCTTATATTTGACTCTGTAACTTTTGAAAACACCATAAAACCTGTACATGAGGGGTACTGTTATAC